GGGGGGCGGAGAAAGGTGTTCCAGATGTATACTTCTTGAAAAAGCTACCATGTCTCCTTTTCATCAAATGTATCACATATTTACTTTGAGGTTCTCTGATGATTTACGCTCCTCCCCAGTACATCTTTGCTCTGTGTCCCCTCCACGTGCTGACAATTCTTCTGGCCCTCCTCCCCTCAGTTTTGTCCCCCTTGAGCTCATTTTGGAGTGGCAAAAGTCAGAAACAGGCATGTGGAGCACCTATTTGGCTTTAGAGTCCTGCAAAAGAGTTATAATGGCATGGTTGCTCTTTTTTCTCTTTAAAAATCAGGCAGAAAAAGTACTTTTCTAGTGAGTTTTGCTCTGACAGAGTGACCAAAGTGTCAGAGAAGCTGGGGAGCTCCCAGCAACCCAACCTAATTCTGTACTTCTGTTTTGTTTTAAGGGGTTCATAACTGTAAATACTGGAAGAACGCCTAATCCAGCCAAAATCCAGGAACACCAACCATGTTGCTTACTGGCCTACAGAAACATATCATTATCACTTGCCACTGACACTCTCGCCCGGAAGGAAAATCTGCTTTATTCAGTTGTCAACATTATATCATTAGGGAGACCTCAACGAGAAATCTGCTTCTTGTTAACTCATTTTCCATGAGCTTCAGCAAATTTTAAAAAATAAAACAAAAAACTTCAAACAACAAACCTGTACATAAGAAAACTCAATAGCCTACAACAAAGCTGTCATGGAAAAGGTGTCTCATGTCATAAATTAAACAAAATTGCCCCTTCTTAGTACCATAACAGCAGAACCACAGGAAAATATTTATAGATTGCAAACCTATGTAAGAATCAGATTGGTCCCTCTGTTCCTTCACTTAGGAAGCACCTTCCTGTGGTTCCTAAGTGTATTTCTGTACACAGCTATATTTATATACACTTGTCCTGTATTTTTTTTAAAACAATAAACTCATGGCAAGCCTATTGCTAATGCAAGAGGAAGGCTCAGATGTTCCATTTCCCAAAAAGCAGACAGACAGTTATGGTTCCTGCAGTGCTCTACTACAGGATCTTCAATTATTATTATATACAGCAGCTCAAAATGCCTTGCATCTGCCTCCAGAAAGTTCCCATATATAGAAGACAGCACATAAACAAACACAAGCTTACTTATTTAACTTTGAAGCACAGCAGTCCAGTTCCTATCAACACCATTTTCACACTGCTTCCTCCATAACTTAGTTATAGGACCAGTTCGCCATTTTACACACCATCAGCTAAAACAGGGATAACTTTCATTCCCCTCAGCAGAACAAGAGTAGAGTTCAAGGTCCCACAAGCCCTTTCTTACTGCAAGCCCAGTCCCAGAAAAAGCTGCAGCAGCCAGTACTGTCGCTGCTCCAGACCCCTGATCCTCTTTCCTGCTTGGATTAGCCCTGACAAGCTACATTGACATGCGTTCTTCTGATTTTAATAGAAGTGCATGTGGTGTTGTACAAGCCCTCACTCCTGGAGTCTCCAACTTCCAATTATAAAAAGCCCTTCTAACTGCAGAAGAGCCCCTGAAAACACAAAGCAGATGTACTGTAGAGGCTTAGCCTAGAAAGCACTAAAAAGCAGGAAGTATAGTAACATTGAGATGTATGTGATTTTTAAGTCAATTTAGTATTTTTGGGTGGTTCCACCTCTTGAATTTTTCCCCAAATTTTAAAAGCAAACAATGTTAAATTGCCATGTTCTGAAGAAGTTTGCAGGAAAGTGGAAGGACTTGAGCCAGAAGAATCAGACAAATTAAAACTGAAGGAAGCAGAAACCAAAACAAAGTTTCCACAGTATTTCTTTTCAACTTGTCTGAAAGCTGTTTAAAAGTTCCTAAGAGGGTCATTGATGCTCCAAGGTTTTCAAATCTCACTGTAGGCTACAAGTGACCACCCAGTATTTAAAGCAATGTAACTTTCCTTACATATTTTCTATATGGTTGCGTCTTCTCAGAAGATGAAAATGATCAAAGGTTACCATGCAGTTTTCCATGCAGTTTTTCTCCACCTTCTTCTGCTCCTCTTAAAGGGATTCTTTTTAAGCAACTGATGTTATAAATAGAAGAAATCTGATTATTTCACTGTAGTTCATTATGGAAGTTTCTGCATGTGACAAAACTCCCTGTATCATCAGCATCAGAAACTGCCAAAGATCATTCAGGATTGAAACAGCTAAAATATTATCCCTGCAGACTAAGGAATGTAATCAAGATATTGTATCCTGCAAATGCCAAACAACGGGTACCACCATCATGCCTGGCTTTAGATGAGGCTCCCTTCCTCTCATTCTTGATCCATAAATCCACACAGATGTTTTGAATGGAACCATCTGTCTACTGACAATGTATCTGGATGTCAGAACCTGCATAAAGCTATGGTGAATGCAGTCACTTCTTCTTCTTGACAATTCCCAAAACCCTTCACTGACATTCTATTTAATAAAAGCAGTGTCACTAATATAGGAATAAATAGCATTTCCTGTTCAGCAGCTGAATCCTGCTTCTCTTTATCTAAGGAAGATTCTGTACATAAAACCAGCCAGAAGACTTGACATGGAAACACTAGATATTCCTTTGTGCTGTTAGTATTACAAGCTCATTTTTGGCTTACCATGGATTCACTGATTAAGAGGAGAAGAAGAGCCTCTTCTACGTTGTCTTGAGGGCAGTATGCACTGAAAGACAGAACACATTTTTTCTGAGGAAGGTCGAGAGTTATCCTGTCAGCCTCCTTCTCATTTCACAAGAGGAGCAGTAACTTGAAACATCTCATATATAATTCATTTGCTAGACAATACCTTCTTCTGCAGGTTCACACAATTAAAAGCTCTGCAATATATCCTAGATGAGCTATACTGAACCATAAAGAGATTATTTCCATTTCATAGCAAAGACAGCTATTTGGTTGGATTTTCTGCCTTCCTGGGAAAAAAAAATATCAAACACTCAAGGTTTAATGTTTTATTTTTCTAGCAGGCCTTTTGATGGGAAGTTAAAAACAAGAGCACACAAAACTACTACATGAATCAGTGACATAATTAGCAGTACTGAAAAATGTTCAAACACTATCCTTCCTCCTGCCAATAAACTGAAATAAAAAAGAATACTTACTTCTCTTCTGTGTACAGCTCAGGCCTCCGACAAAGACTGCTAACATAAGACTGATCTTCCTTGTTCATGAACTCAGGAAGCAGATCAGATAAAGGGCTCCAGTAACAGTCTTCACTGAGGGAATGGAGAAGTACTTGGGCTAGCTGTTTGGCTGCAGTCTAGAGATCAATGAGCAGTACAGAAAAAAGACATATCAGTGAAGCCTTGTCCAACACAAAAGATTCAACCTTCCCCATGTTCCACCTTGGGAAGGAGATGTACCAACAACGTGACAGTACCACTTTTCAGAAAGTTAGAGTAGCTAAAACAGCTGCTAAAAAGTTTACAGCACTGGCAACTTCTGCCCTCCTCTGAAAAGGCCAGCCTTCTGCATTTACATGGTCTTGTTGCAATACTGTAAGAAAAAAGTATCAAAAAGGCCTGACAGCAAGGGACACTTTGGTGAATGAAGACAACTGACTGCCATACAGACCGCTGAGATAATCTCACAAATGTTACTATATTAGAGTATGATGGCACTTCCTGCATTCTCAGCCTCAGAATTTTGTATGGAAGTCTCAGCCCAGAGGCTACTTCTATATTAGGTTTAAAAGATCAACCCTTTATCTGTTAGTATCACTCTTCCTGCAGACTTTTATAGCTCCATCTCAATACTGCTGCTCTTTTTTTGTTGCAATAACGGAGGGAGGGGAGAAGAGGGTTAGGAACTTTATATTGAGACAGCAACATCATATGCACTTTTTTGACCATCAAGTGGCCAAGGATCCTTAAATACTTGCTTTCTGGTTCATACACATAGCTGGCAAGCTGGGCCCAAAAGGGGGCAAGTTAACTTGACTTTGCAAAACTATTTTTGGCATTTATCCTTGTTTCCCACCCAACAAATCTCTAATTTTTTTCACGGTAAATAGATGAATGTGCAAACAAGCACAGAGACATCAAAATGGGTGGTATCTTCTGTGAATTCTAAGCAGCACAGCACTCTAAGCTGTAAAGTAAATACTGCACAGAACAGAGGCACGCTGAAACTTCAGCCTTTCTGTCCTAATACTTGTAAATATTATTTTGGAACTTCTCTGACTACTGCATATGTATTTTATATGCAATTTACACTTTGGGATGTGTTACGAGGCCACCAAGAGTCATTTTGTTTTAAATACAAGGACAGGTACGATTGATAAACTGGAGCATTACTCTGCTTGACGTATGACATCTATAGGACCAAATAAGTCATACTGAGGTTAAAGTTCCTGTTATCAGATTCAGAAAAATTACTTCTTTTGATGCAAGGTTCTTCATTTTCATCCACCTCACCACACATGAATTCACTAAATTAAGTCTAAAATGCAACCACAGTAGGGTGTGCTGATTCTTAAACACCAGAAAGGGAGGTTTCATACTTGTACCTAGCAAATGGCAAAGTGATCTGATTGTATGATGGTGCCTCAAAGAAATATTGTCACATACAACTCCCTGGAAACCCCAAGACCTTCCATGCACTCCTACTGACAAGTTACAGAAAGCCTTCTGTTTCTAACCAGGCTTTTCTATGCTTTTTATAGCAAGTAACCATGAGCAAAACAGCCTAGGGCCCTGCAACATTAGCCAGTATCATTTTATCATCTCAGTGTGTAATTATTTAGTCAGTTTTACCCTGAGGAGCCCACTCTCCTATATTTTTTCCTACAGTTTTAGAAAGGAGGGAACAATAATATGCCAGCAACAGAAAGATCTCTACTGGTTCACACGGAAGTAGGATTATAGTTTGTGATAAGCCTTTCAAAAGGCAAGCACCAAATACTCTTAGTGTCTTAGGTTTTAACATACAGTACAGTAGCTGTGTAAATTAGCTTCACTCTTGTTTTGAATAAGACCAAACAAACCAGAACAGGCCAAGACTCTGATTTATGTTATTACTGCCTTTGGCTAAAAAAAGCATCATTATGCTTGAAGAACACTGTGAAAACAAATCATGTGTTTCACTTTAATGCCTGAAAAACTTGTTTAATTACGCACATTCCTCTCTTTGCCCTCTTGACAACTCTTTAAAAATAAGTAAGGAAATGCAAGTGCAACTTTCAGTAAAATGGAAATCCCAGGAAAAACTATTGGATGAACACCTTCAGATTTCCCCTTAGGGACAAATCCCCCAGGGGTGTTGTACAGCTCTCCCCAGTTGCACAGGGACAGGAGCATTTGAGTGCCACGTTCTGTCATGGTATAGGAACAACAGATGGTTAGACTCATTTCAGCAAAATGATAAAACAGGCAAGCAAGAAAAATCGCTTGAACCTTGATCTCAATCTGGAAAAGAATGCAACCACCCGAGTGTGACAATTATTTAAGTCACCTCTTCTAATTCCCTGCACAAACTTCCACATGCATCTGTATTCTCCATTAGGAATATAAGGTGATCCCAAGGCAACAAGAAGATTCGTTTCCAGAACAAAGTTCCAAAATACACAGATGTGAGGAACCTAGGTAAAAAAGCACCCAGGACACCCTTTCTGCTTGCAGTTTCATTTTAGCTCTGTATTTGCATGTGAGCTACACACACAATCAGTCCATCCATTGGAACCTGGCACTCTCCATCTCCAAAATACTGTGCAAACCCACGACTACCTCCCTTGCCGAATTTCTCTGGAATTACACAAAACACAAAGCTGAACCAAGCACAAAACAAGTTTAGTCATACGAATGACAATGCTTTTAGGGCTGCAAAGTTTTCATTCATGTTCTCAAGACTGCTATTCTCCATGCTGAGTAACTTCAGGACAAGATCTCTTAAAGGGGAGACAGGGAAGAACCAGTTAAAGGTCTAAGAAGTTAAACAGGCACATAAATAACTTTTTCCATTATTTCTTTACCAGAGGCACTCAGGATAACAGGATGCAGAATGCCAACACCACCAGCAAAAAAAAATTAAAAATTAAAATCACTCTGTACTGCATTGAAGGGAGTTTACAGGAAGAACACTGAAGTACTGGAGTCTAAAAAAAAGCACTGCTTGTTGCAAGAGCCAGAAGTACTTAATGCTACTACATGCAAATGCAAAAAGATGTGCATGCACACACTGAAAAGCAAAAAAGAAAACAAGACACTATCACCTGAGGACAGCACTGCCAAACTAAATATAACTCTATTTCTACCATGGCTAGAAAACACACTGGAAAATAACCCCCAAAGTAACCCATGTGCCCAGGTCTGAAGGCTTGGAGGTTTCAATTGGGCAGGTCTTTGAATTAAGTGCTTCACTTGACATATCACTTCCAAAAGTAAAATAATAAATAAAAAAATAAAAGAAAGAAAACAAAAAAGGCAGCAATCGATCAAGTGAGGACAAATACATTTTTGTCCTGCTGCACCGGTTAATAAACAGAGAGAATTCCTGCATAGCAGAGTAAGTACCCTACCCTTCCCATCTCCCATTCCCCGTACCATTTTGAAGGTCTGAGTAGATTTTGTTTCCACAGTCCGTAGTACTTCTCGCAGACTCCTCATTCCTTTCACAATATTTCTATGGGGAAGGCAGGAAAAAAAAAAAAAACAACCCACGTCATAAAAAACCCAAAAAACTAGCACATTGGAGACAAAATATTTTTATGATGCACCAAAGCTTGGCAACAAACTTGACATTCAAACAAACCCATGAAACAATCACTAACACTGAGTGTGCAGTAGCAAGACAAGTCACTCTGAGGCACAGACAGGACAATGACACTGAGCGAGACAGCGACTGTAGCATGCCTACTCCAGATGGCTTCCTAGAAGATCACATTCACATTTGACGAACAGAGGGGACATTTGGAAGCCTTTCATAGCTTGTATTCATAAAGCAGTTGCTTCTTCTTAAAAGCATCCACATCTCCTCTTCATAGACACAGACTGTACTTGTTTGAATTATATTGAGCTTACATGATGCTTTTAAATGATTCCTTTTAGGTGGTGCTTAAATGCCTTGTGTCTGATGGTCCAGACACATGAGGACATTACAGTGGTTTAAAGAGTTTATTATCAGCCAGCTAAGTTGCAGTAACTGTCTGCAAGCACAGCTTAACCTGCAATAAAAAAGGGTTAGGAAAAAAAAAAAACCAAAACAAACAAAAACCCCACATTACTCTGCATAAACCATGAGCCATTAAAGCAGACTAGTTGCCAAATGGTATCTTAATTGTGTGTCTGAGCACTAGAGAGATGCAGAGAGGGAAGGTTAAACACTGGACATACTAGTTAACACACTTGGAGCCTATACACTCTTCAAGACTAAGGACATGGCCCTACCACCACAGTAATTATAAAACGGTTCAGCTCACTTTCATTGCCGGGTGGAAGCTACCCAAAGAAATACAAGTTATAAGAAAAGGTGCAATGCTGTACTGAAATGAAGACAACCAGATAAGCAATTGTAGTGGTACATTAACTACCACTTCAGTTTATTCCAGGAGAATTTTCTGTGCAAATGAAACCTAGATTTCACAGAGGGGAAGGAAAAAAAAAAAAAAAAAAAAAAAAAAAAAAAAAAAAGGCAGCACCATACACCATAACAACCTTTTCTGTCAATCTGATTAAATTTTGAAGGTAAGCAGTATAGACTGTGCTTGTGCCCACTTTCATGCCCTGCAAACCTTCTTGCACCCCAGAATCAATGGAAATAAAAGAAAGTAAGTATGGGGGAGGGGGGGTGCACATATAAAATGTGATGTTTACCGTGAATATTGGCTACATAAAATGCCACCCTAAAGCTTATGGTCACCAAGTCACAGAGTTCAAATGCGTGTGGCCTTACTTCTAATCAATACACATCTCAAAATTTTAAACTTTGAAGTAATCTGTAGATTACCTCATTGGGGGTAATCTACAGACAAGCAAAAAAGTAAGGCAAGAGCAAAAACACTGGAGACTTGCCCCTGTAGAAAAAGTCAGATACTGTCTTTCTGTTTTTCCTTCCACTTTCTTCTAAGTAAAAGATGTGCTTTGAATTTATCAATGGAAAAAAGCTCAAGGAATTTTAACCTCCTTAAACTGAGGAAAGCAATAAAGCACATGGTGATATTTATGCACATGAGTAGTCACACCCAATCCAACAGAATTGTTCATAAGCTATTTATTACCAGATAGTAAAAAAATCAATAAATTCCCCCATGTAAACAAAATGCACATGACCAACTGCTCTCCTCAGTTACTGAAAACTACTGGCATTTCCTGTGCTTCCTTGGGCTCCTAAAAGGCTGGACAGAAGAGTTATGGTGTATAACAGTTCTACAACATTTTTGAAAATGTGTATGTTTAGATTTCTTGTTAGGATAATGGTATTTGTCTTAATAAAGTGCCAAAGAATGCCATTAACTAGCATCAGAAAGAAGATTAGTGACCACTTGCAAAGCCAATTAATTCCACATTTAGCACATACTTAAGAGATGAAAAACCTAGACAACGTGCTAAGACAAGACAGTTTTGTTCCCAGAGAACTGAAGCACCATTTCAGGCCATAAACCAAGTTAAGTTTTGTGGCAGAAACACCTTGCTCTGGGGGGAAGGGGAGAGGAAAAGGAAGGAATATAGACACACTGAAGTGAATGAAAGAATAAATGGCAAATTGCTGCCCAACTGCAAGTAGTCAGGGCTGAAACCATGAACCACATGACAAATGCGTAGGAATACCTTCAACAGAAGGTAGGAGTACAAAACGGGTAGCACAGGAGGAGCACCTAGCATTCACCACCTCCCAGACATGTGAGGTCAGGTTCTCTCAGAGAGCACCTGCTCCATGCTCTGAGCTCTCAACTCTGAAACATGCAAAGCATCTGACAACAATACCAGTGCTACAGGACTGAGGATTTTGTTTGGCCACTTTTATATTTTGAACTTTATCGAACATTATTGAGCCATGACAGGAGACAGAACACACCTGCCAGCAGTCTGCAAACATACCTCACTACAGGAGTTTGTCTTTCCGCTCTACTGTTCCAAGTCAGGAGGCCATCTGAGCACATATTTCTTTTAAGCATATGAATTGCTCTATTTATAATGATAAGGAACTTACTGTTCTATTAATAGATGTCCATCATATACTAAACATGCACTTGAACAGATTTTTTTAAGCTAGGACTTGAAGAAGTTAACAAAAACAAAAGTACGTATTTGAACAGAAATACATGTACGTATGTAAGTGGATGAGGATGCAAACATAAAGCCTCTGACAAGCCATGGTGAATCCATCTGATCTTGTCTAGATCAGAAAATAAGCAATCTTGAGCCTCTGCAGGACTTGGATAGAAGACTGTCCGGAAATCCCAGGTACTGTTGGCTCAAGCCATGGCATCGTAAGTGAACATCAGATCATGTAAGTGAGTTGGAAGAGTCCATGGGCCCCTGTTGCACTGCTAAGATGCCAGAAAAAGAAATGAGGAAGAACAGGAAGGGAAAAGCACATGGTCATTAAACTGCCTTAGTTTTAGGCACAAAAGTGGCAAGAGAGGCATTTAAAAAACACATGACAAAATGCAGTTTAGAATTCAATTACAGCTAATCTAATAAAGAGGAACACAGAAAATCATGGCCACAAACTGTGACAAAGACCACCTTCAGTCCAGTCAGTCCAGCTTGGCATGAAAATCTGTTTTGTTTGTACAAGTACCCTGTTAATACAGGGTAATTATTTACCAGTCCATGAAGCAGTCATATAACATTTATGTCGTATTGTTTGGTTAACACTACACAAAATTTTAAGATACAAGAAAATAAAGAAATACACTGTTTTCTATGCAAATTGCTGGGAAAAATATTGATAATGAACCAGAGTGGACCAGGGGTCCTTGCACAGAGGTCTGCAGAGACAGTCCCCCAACAACATGAGCACCAGAAGATCATGTTCTTATCCCCACTCATTAACTGTTAAAACAGTTAACCGATAACAGATGAAAGAGACCATCCTGAGATGACTACATGGCAGTTTGTGGAGCCACCTCTCCAGGCGAAAGAGATACACGAAGCACACAAACAGCAGCAATACCATTGCCTCTGCCCAGCTCCTTTTGCATCTTTGCATCTCGCCAGGTTTCTAAAAATTCATACGCTCTCCTTAAACAGCTGTTCAAGCATATGCACAAAACGCACCTGAAGAAGCAAGCCTCAGATTCCTATGAATGAAGATATAAGACAAGTAACTACAACAAAGCACATTAGAGTTTCCTAATGGCAGCCTGTCTAACAGAAGTGGGACGCTCAAAAAAAACCTAATACAAAACAAAGGTTAGCACTTATCTAGATCCATCCAGTGGGCAGTAAGACTCATTCCCAAATTACCAGCTGCAGTGTCCTGGTGTCCTGGATAAGATGCTAGATTGTAAGGACTGAAGAGGATATAAATGACAAGAAAGCCCACATAAATTCCCCAGAAGAGACAAATAGTCCAGCAGAGACTGTCCTGCCTGCCTTTGTACATTAGATTCTACTGCAAAACAGCACATACATGAACTTACTCTTTCAAAACGCCCTTGCAACAGAAGCCTACAAAATTTCAAAAAGGGAGCTGAGCACCCCAGAAAACTGCCAGGAGACTGACAGGAGAAGGGAAGAGAGAGAATTGTGTAAGCTTTCCCTATTAGGCATTTTCATCAGGGTTTTCCAAAGTAATTTAGGTCCTAACTTGACGGATCATAAGGAAATCTGATTTCTAATAAGTGCTTAACATTTATTTTTCAGAAATTCATTTTCTTCAACAGTGTTCCATCTAGAGCTTCCAAAACCAACCACATCCTCTAGAAAGCTCTGACTTCTTGTCTTGCCTGTGAAACTCCACACATACTGCAAGTGCCATTAAGAGAGCAGCATACATATAAACATTACTTCATACAGGTGAAGCCTGTTTGCCCTAAGAAAATATTAACAGCATCTTGACCAAAGCCCCCATAACAGTATAAAGTAGTAATAACTGTTCAATACTTTGAAAGGAAAGGCAGTAAGAAATGAGCCTAATCTTCACACATCCACATCAAAAAAAACCCCAAACAAAACCCCAGTGCAGATGCTAACATGAAAGACAACTGGTTCCCTTCTACAGTATGACAGCATCTGCCTGCCTATATTCTGCATCCACAGCATCAACATTGCTCACTGGAAGAAAAAAAGAAAGCTGGGATGCAGCAGGGCAAACAACTGCAGGAAACACATCTTCAGCAACACAGTATTTTTAAGTAAACATCTTATTAAAAGCACCTAGGACTTCCACAGCTCCAAGACTTGCTGGTCCTTACAGCTGGCAGCTCAACATCTGAAAGGGAGACCAGACCTTTGTTTTGTACTGGTGCCTTCTTTCCACTGCACGAGAAAAGGGCAACCCTGACCATGCTCCAAGAGAAGCATGCCTGTGCCTGCTAGCAGGAACAAAAGCATGACACCACCACTCTTATCCTTCAGCTATTCTGCCTGGTGAGATAAGAATAAAACACTTGCTATTTCTTTTGTACACACGTGCCACTGGGGAAGGACAACCCCCTGGCAGCCTGAGTATTCATCATCCAAGGCTTATTTCCTCCCTGAACACGCTGGAAGCAATAAGGAGAACAAAAGCGTTTCTTTGAGCTGTTCAATATCAGGTGGAGGAATTTATTATACACATGAAGCATCCTAAAAAGCTTCTTCCCGCTTCCCTTCTCTTTCCTTAATACATCCCAATGCCGCTTATGCCCTCTCGTGGCAGAAACCACACATTAATACTTGCTGAGGGCACAGAGACAAGCTGCGGAGTCCCAGCGGGCTCCCTTCCCCCTCACCGGACCTTTCACTTCCCTGGCAGTTGTTTCTTACTTGCACTGGAGGAGGTGAGGAGCACGTGGGTCTCCGCTCCCGTCCCAGCCACAGGAGCTCCATCGCACGGACTAGGATGCTCTTTCATCAGGAGACAGCTACAGTGAACATTTTGCTGCTATTGCAGCAATTCAGCTTATAATCAATGCACTGCTTAATTCACACATGTACTTTGATTCCAAATTGTTTTCCTGTAGGTTTTTTTTTTTTTTTGGGGGGGGGGTGTACGGTTTTTTGGTGTTGTGGTTTGTTTTTTTGTTGGTGGTTTTTGGGGGGTTTTTTGTTTCTTTTTTTTAAGGCTGTCATTAAAATAACATGGGAAGGGAGCAAGCAGGGCCCACAGTAATACCTAAAACAACCCACTGGATACATTGAACTGATGAAGACTGAATTTAAAACATTGCTGAATAAAATGAACATGACTGAGTTTGATATTCCAAAGGTGCCTAGAAGACATCAGTGCCATATGTTCTAAATGAGATTTTATTTTATTAGATAGTTAATGAGCTTACTGGCAAGACCTGAGCTTTTCGTTCGCCATGAGAATGGCAAAAGGCTAGGAAAGGACACACTGTGCCCATGGCTGGTCAACAACCAACTTACCCAGGAAAACCATTTACCTGTTGCCTACTGCCAGGGTGATACTGAGACTTATCACTCCATACTTTCTTAACACATAAACTTATATTCACCTGACTAAAGGGGTCATTTCACAACATTTGGGCTTTGTGTATTTGTAAGCCTTTGGGTTAAACAAGGTTTACCTGAAGGCACCTCTCATGGATATGCTTAGGAGTACAGGTTCACTGTACATGCAGGCTTTTAATGAAAGAATGCGGAACACAGAAGCTAGTCAAAGTTGCATTTAAAGTCATTCTTGGGGGATAAAAAACTAGCAAAAAAGCCCTAAACAAGAAGCAACGCCTCTTCCAACAGAGTCAAAAAATGCTATCAATTTTCTACCGAAGAATTTGAACTGATTTTTGCTGGGATATTTTTTTTCTAATTTTCTTCCTTTCAATCTCCCCTCATTTTTTGCTTTCTTCTCCATTTTATTGAGCAGGAAATGGAGGAGGAGTGAAGAAAAGGAGAGAAAATATCTTTGACTGGGGGTGAAGGTAAAAAACCCAGCCAAAACGAAATACTTTCAAAGATGGTTTGCTTAAAAAAAGTTTATAAAACTTTGACCAGCAATATTACACAGAGCAGTGAGAAATCAGTATCTGATTCCTTAAGAAAAAAATAGGATAATATAGTGCAAAAGCAGGACTAGGGAATGATGGATTCTTAAAAGTACTGTTTACACATGTTGAAAAGACACCCTACATGGCAATCTCTCCATCACCTAAAACAGAGTTGATCATGTTTTGAAGACATGGCCTGGTTTAGGGAACAGAGTGCCCTCACCAATTGCCTTTGGAAGTGGGCATTAACAATGTCTCTTTTATTGTTCTTGAAAAGGTTTTCCTCAGGTGAAAATCACTGTAGGCTTGCAGATACCAACTCCTCTTGCCCTTCCAAGGTTCACTGGGAGCTGTATTTCAGAGGCATAATAAATACCCTGGAGCAGCACTGTTCCCGCATGCATTCTCTCTAGTAAAAACACACAGATTTGGGGTATTGATTGGGACATTTAAGACCTTAAATAAACAAACAAACAAATAAATTGAAAGAAACTACCCTTAAGACTTCACTGAGCTCTAAACCAGGCCCTGTGGCTGAACATTTTAAAAGCACACAGCAGTGTAAATTCCACTCTCTCTTTACAGTCAAACTCCCCTCATCTCCACTGGGAACAGAGCTGAGTCAAGACAACAAAATTGTTCTACTCCACCCTACTTGCGGGTCTGGAAAAAGGAGGCTTAGGACTCTTAAGAGAGACAGAGAGACACAAATAGGAGGGAAGGAAGGACACTGAGGGGACTTGAGGTGAGCCAGCAGCAAAAAAGTCAGAACAGAACATATACAAAGAAATAAGCCTTCATCTGTTCTGAGACAAAACATGCAACATTATCTATTTTTATTAACATCTACATCCACCTACCCCTTCTTTAAATGAGTCACGTAGGCACTCTGTAGAGCTGCTTCCAGGAAGTAGGAAAGTTCAAACTCAGAGTAAGTCACGTTGCTGCCCTTGATACTCCTTGAATGTGTGTTGTTTAAGGTCTGTGAGGGGAGTAAAGAAATATCTGGGATTACAGGCAACTGGTTGAACTAGCCAGTTCCTCATGAGCCAGAGACATCTCCAACAATAAAATGTTAGCTTCGGCCATCAGATTTCTCCTCAGACTACCTGAACACTTACCTTCATTAGGTATTCAAAAACCCCTCAAAGTCAACTTTAAAATAAACTATGCAGTGACTTCCATGAAATATTCTGCATCCAATATGAGTTTTGAAACACCATCCCTTATTACTTTCCAACCTTTAATTAAGTAAGTAGAAAGCTACACATTAATACCCAGGGCTTCAGAAGTACTACTCCAACCACAGAGATCCAGTGTCTTGCCCAGAAATATTAATGCAATGTTTGAGTAGGTATGTCTAGCTTAACATAACATAGATATTTATTAAGAGTTAGTAAGCTATCAGGAGTCCTGATGAAAAAATCTTGACATTTCCCCTGTTTCTCCTATCAAACCCTTCTTGCTTTTGCTTCCTTACTGGTAACAAACAGCTTTCACTGCTGAAAGTTGCCCTGTGTGGACTCCAAAGCAGGGTTTTAAATCCAGGACTGGAGAAGGCCTATGGACTTTTAGTACATCTATCAGTAATCCTGCATCCTTGTCTCTGTGTCCAGAAGGTGAATGAATTACTGTTCAAACTCTTTTGCCTTCTTTGCAAACAAAAGCTGTTAGCAAAAACACTTACAGTGCCCAGTACTGGCAGGAACTCGTCCTTCCACAATGGAAGGACAGTACTTAATTTTAAATAGAAAAGCCATTCAGTTTTTTCCTACAAAGAAACAGACCAGACAACTTGTTAGCTGGCTTTCTTCATGAATTTTTATATGTACTAAGCTAATTTTTTCTTGTTTTAATGCAATTAAAAACAAAACCTGGAACAGAAACACACCTTTGCTGCTGAGAAGAGCAGAAATAGCTGGTCAGAAGGTCAAAAGCTGTTAAAGTTACAGAAGAACATGTACTGCCATGAGTGCTGCTGGTGTCAAGCATAACGTGTGGCAAAGGAAAGGCATGGAAGCCCATGGTGTGCCCTGTTAAACTCAGCTAGGCAAAGTTACAGAGACTACTAAGCATGTGCCCAGCAAATCAGTGGCACGTATTACAGCTCAGTGGAGGGCTCACAGTACTCATCTTGCTCGGCATCCTAGCCAACCACTGACTAAGCAGTTACTTGCTAACTAATGATCTAGGTTCCTCCAGTTTCACTTGGAGAAGGTGAAGCACTGGCAATTAAATTGCTATGGCTGACCCAGAAAAGGTTGCTTTCAGCTCGTTAGGGATCTCAATATCCACTACTGTGTATCATTTACACAGCAAATATGTAAAATGTCTTGAGTTTCTTCATGCTGGCACTTGCTATGCAAAGTTTTTAGCCCCTCTTTAGTAAGGGCTAAGCTTGAGATACCACTTGAGCATATCTGAAGTATTCAGTACTTTACCACAGGCAAAACTGGTTTTCAGACCTCATTCTCAGAGGAAACAGGCAGAGACCAGATAAATTGCTGTTTTGCAACTGCTTATACTGAGACATCTCACTCCTTCCAACTTGTTCTCATACTCCTTATTGTCTATGATCACCTGGCATTTCCCCATCATTTTTGCTGTCAAAACCCTGGAAATTCCACCCAGGCCCCCAGGTAACACCCTGAGCACATTTCTTCTTACCTTTTCAAGCTCCTGCAAGTACACCTGGGCAATGACACATGCTGTCTCAAAACAAGCCATGACTTCCTCCTCTCTTTCACACAGTCGAGCACGTGAAGCAATTGAGTTGGTTGAGCGCTCCAGTGACAGACCTGCAAAATGGCAACACCTTTAACTGGAGCCCACCAACAGCAGCATGGCTGTATTATTCCTTCATTTACCATCTGACAGGAAAGTTTTTCCATAGGTGGGTTTCTCCCTTGTTTTAGTGACTTTCAGTAAAAGATCCCCAGAAAAATATAATTCCTACGCATGCAAGGCATTTTTGTCATGCTGCTCTAACCCACACTGCCACTGCACATTTCTACAGTGCCTTTCAAACACTTTATGAAGAAAGGACATACAATCCCTCTGGTAGGGATGAGAAAGCAGAGAAATTAAGGCCTATATTTCAAAGATGGCTATAGATTTTGGGTGCTTCAACGCAAGCGCTGTTTAAGAAACACCTTGGCACTGGATTTGATAATTTCTAAGCATCCACTATTCCAAGTGAAGCTTTCAATAAGCAGCAGTTTTGAGGGGAAAAAGAAAAAAAAATACCAAAACAAAGTTGGAAAATCTGAGGCCTCTCTTGGAAAATCTGAGTACATGCAAATTGCACATAGACACACAACAAGCTCTTGGCAAGGCACAAGAGACTCTTAACCACAAGATCACCCTCTTTTCCAAAGAAAGGAAAAAACCCTGGGTTTTGTACTACTAAAACTCTTTTCTTGTATCATCATCCAACCCCACTTACAAACAAAGAGCATGTTAATTGAAGACCCGCAGCTATTGTCCCTACATGAAAAACTTTTATCAGATCCTTGTCTGGCATCACACTGACATCCTTTACATCTCTAAATCTATTTGGAGAGGCTACACATCCACACACCAATTTTACTCTGATCAGTGTAGGTTCTTATGACACACTGGATCTCTACAAAACACCACTGCTTGGAAACTCAGGTCTTTACACCAAATACAACTGCACTGGTGCCCCGTAGCCTAATATGGGTTGTAAGAAGTTCAGCACATGCTTCCCAATAAATTTTATATATAACAACACTCCCTAATACCAATGAAAAATGTGTACCATGTAACACAAAATCCTAGTGTTCCCGACCCAGATCCACAGAGGTGATGAAAGAAGAGAGTTCAGCTGTCTGGACAGCCTTTCCAAGGAAGCTATTTAGACTGCTGCAGCATACGACAAAAGATTCTGCTCCACCTGAGGAGCCACCATGTGTACCAGGAGCCACACTTTCCTGGGCCCCCGCAATGCCGGGAGGCCCAGCACTACAGCACAGCTCATTTCAGGAGTCTGACAATGAACTGCAGTGAGGCAGCAATGGGGAGCCAGGTTTCGCCATGATCAACAATGCATATGAATGCTCATGCTGGAGGAGCCCGAGGTTCCTAGGCAGTCTTAGCTTTGTTTACTTCTCATGTTCAACATTTCTGTTTTGTCCCCTTGGTTACTCTGCTAGGAGTTTCCCTATCTCATGTCTTAGATTTGAGCCAGACATGAGCGGTTAGTTCAGTGCGTTGAGAAGATGCCCCACTGGTGCAAGCTCGGGAGGTGGCTCCCCACTCCTTCTGCCTTCTCCCAAGTCAGAAGTGCATGGCACGTTCCCTAAAGGACCTGTATCTTGGAGAAACACACATTAGTACCTTTCACCTTTGAAAATCCTGACCAGAGTAGAGCAGGGGGAGTGGACTTACTTCAAACTGCCAGTGTGTAACTGTTTACTTCAAACTGCCAGGGATAACGATCATTTTGCTGCTTTTAACTAATGCCCATTTTGTGTTCTCTCCTTTCTACTGACATACACATTGTATAGCATCAAACATATAACAGATTTTGTATTCTAGTCCATCTATGAAGTCTCTGGCTTTATATCATGGTTTGCTTTCCTATTATTTCAAAAATTCTATTTCCTAACCCTGTTCCTATGTAATGAAGGGGAAAAGAGAATGTTAACTCTCATAAGAAAAAGAAAACATCCAGTGCTGAAGCTAGAACAATCAGCCTACAAATATTCTTCTTAGGTCTGTCTCAGTTTTTTCTACCTCTGAATTTCTAGTCATCCCCCTTACTTGAAAGTAAAATTTAAGAAGTGTTTCATTTCAGAGTCACCATCCCCTTAACTGCAAAGTGGGACTGGGGGCCCTGAAAGAAATCCAGTACAATCCACTGACATTCATACACATGCAGCATTTAATCAAACTGCAAGAGCCATCCTAGCACAGTCTGTATGGGGGTGGTTATCGTGGGAGATGTCACACAGAGACAACAGGCTGATAAAAAAAAACATTTACATACATGCTACAGCCCACTGCAAGGAGCTACCATCTCTAAGCTCTGTCGTGTGAGAGGAAAGCAAGCAGCCTTTGCCAGCACCAAGTACTGACAACAAACGTGCCCATCCATGCAGTCAGAAAAACAGGGCTGGGGTTGATCAGAGACAGGGGAATGAATGAACAACTCCAGAAAGGTTTCTTGCCACAGTAAGTACAGAGCAATATACAGTGTATTAAAACAGCTACTATGCTACATTGCACACATTTCTCTACTTGTAAAGGGCAAGAAGGAAAAATGACCCACATAATGCGACATTAGTCATGGTTCTTTCTGCTAATACCATATGCACTGACCTGATGTCATCAGAGTATAAAATCTTCTACAGAATCTGAACAGGGCTATTCTTCCCTATCACAGAAATGCAATGAAAAGAAAAATTAGAGCAAACAAACTGCAAATCCAATAGACAAAGTGAAGAACAGAAGAATAACAACAAAAGTTCCCTGCTCTTGCAGCCACCAACTCAGTCCTCACAGTGTAAAGCCCCAACAATTACAGAATTGCTCAAGGTGCAGTTGGACAAGACTGTTTACAAGCCGTCCAGCCCCGAAAGCACAAATTCCACAAACTCTTCTCCATCCCCCAGTTATCAACACAGAAAAAACTTTGCAGCACAACATACATTTTAAATTCAGCTCAGTTCCCAAGAAGTGTCAGAAGGCCACAAAAGCGCATGCTACTTCCACACTGGATTTAGCAAGAGAAGTGTAGCTCTTGCTAAGACAGAATTAGCTTCTGAGTAAAGCATAAAGCCATATGCTTTCTTGGTAGCTGGTTAAGGTAAAGGGACTTGGGTATTTTTCACAACCAGTCATGGTAAGATAATACCAACTTATAACTTATCTACGCTAAGATTTTTCTCATGTGAATTGGGTGCCCAAATTTAAATATATAAATACACATATACCATAAGAAAGTTGTATTCAGTGAAAAGACAGATTTCTAATAGAGTATGGCCCAAGCTCAAGATTTAAAGAGAGACATGCTTCCAGATTATCCTTTTTAAAAGAACAAACTCTTCCTACCCACTTCAGAAAGAGTGACTTTCTATGTATAGAAACACTGCTTTTCTTTCCTGCATAAAGATAAGGCTTCCATTCATCTCTAGCTCTCCCAAAGATTCATCTCTAGCTCTTGATCTCTCTATAATCTTTGCCCCTTCTTGTCCCCTTCTAAAGCTATTCTGCATTTATGTCAGAAAAAACCCAAACCCATAAGGTTTGTAAGTGGCGTCACTGAACTGATTTCCTCCTAAAGCTGAAATGCACTGCTCTCATTCATGGAAACCTGAAAGGCGAGACTTTATGAGGGCTTATTTCCACTTTCATCTCACTCAGTCCTTGTCAAGGGAAGACATCATATCATGTAGCTCCCATGCTCAGAGGTGATGTTATTACCAGCACTGGAACATACATGTGCACATGGACATACAGTACCAGATTCTCAGCAACATAAATATGAAAATTCATGCTGGAAGGGATCCCAAGAGGTCAATCTTTCTGCTCAAAGCAGTGCCAGCTCAGGGCATTACCCAGCCTGGTCTTGAAAGCTTCAGCGCATAGATGGAGACTGCACAATTGCTAGGGAGAAGAGGAGGCTAAGGTGGCTTTCTTCTTTTCCTCCAGTTCATAAACAAGTTCATCAAACAGCAGCATTCCTCCTTCTGAGTAGGAGAACTATACCAATCTACTCACAGGTTCTTTTCATTTTCCTTTTTACACAGACTTCCAGCCTCCTGTATTTGGATGAATTTACACTACTGAGGAATGGTGGGTTCATGGTGCAAGAATTCAGGGTCAGCAGCAGCACACCACTTTCACCAACAGTGTCAGCCTGCAGCTGCTAAAACCCCATAGCCCAGGAGCATCAGAGCTACCTGGCAATCTAAGGAAGGATCAAAGAAACACAACACCACACAGAGCATGAAGCTTACCTCTTGTGTTGTGTCCTAGTGCTACACTTGTGTTGAACACAGCTATGGCAACTTGAAACAAAAGACAGCTTAGGGTGGAACTTGCACGCCTGCCAACTGCATCACCACCAGCCTGCAGAGCAAGGTTACAGAACGTATGCTCCTGGGCCACACATAAAGGCCATCCTGGCCAGAAGCCAGTGTGCTGCCAAGCTAAGTGCATGCAATAGTTCTACTCTACCTACAGGAAGGTAATTAATTTTTCTTGAGGTAAGCCAGATGTGAACATATTGCATGGCAACTCCTGCAGGGAAACTGGTTGTGTGCATGTTTTCACTCTGTGGCAAATGCCAGGTCATTCTGGGTAGCTGTCCCCAAGGGGAGGGTGCACTTCATTTCTAGCATGCAGCTTTCAGCCTAGTTCAGAAGCGTGGCTCTAGAAAATCAATTAGCATTGAAATAAGACTATTTTTAAGACTAGCTCTTCAAACATATACACATGCATGCTGACTAATCAAAGTTCAGCAGAATCCTAAACAGTTTTCAAAGACAAAATTTAAAAGCACAACCAAACCATTTTAGAGATGGCATTATGACCAGCCTGCCCTGCCTGCTAAGGTTTGAACTTAAGAGCACAGCACTCAATCAAACTCTTATATTACAGTGTCTTGGAAAGCAAAACAGCCTGAACCTTAACAAGCCAAAGCAGCAGTTGGGATTAGGTTGACATAGGCAAGACTCAGCACTATGCATTATTTCTGCCACTATTCACAGCAGTTCTAATAATTCACATCATGGGTCTCGACACCCATCTCCCCACCAATTAAGCTATGATT